CATTAAACGCTTAATTGTTTCTAATCTCCTCCTGCTTTTTCGTTCAAGTTTTGCTGAGGTCGTTACTCCCGACGTTGCAAATAAATTCGTGAAGGAAGCGATTTTTTCGCCTATTGCGACTAGATGATCTTACAAGCCGACAGAAGTCAAAATAGCGAGATGAAATTTTTACGAAACATGAAGTCAATTTTCCTGATTCTAAAGAAAGTATAATCTATTTTGACTGATGAAGCATTCTATAGGTCACCAACTAGAGCGCACTTTTATCGATAACTGGAGTATGCCTTATCAACCAAAATCGATTCTGATTTCTTTTGGATCAGGAAAATTGGCTCCATATTTCGTAAAAATTCCATCTCGCTATTTTGAGACTCATCAAATTCAAAATTTTGACTTTGATTGGAAGTTTGCTGCACACTTCGTTTCATCAGATCACGTACCGTGAAAAAGGATGGTACTTGTTTGTACATATATATAATGGTGGTGCAGTGTGACGCATGTACATACATCTAGTCATGCGGCAGTGTGACGGATATACACACATATAGCGACCACTGAGTGTGACGAACGTACATACATATAGTCCTGTGGCAGTGTGAACGTTGTGTTCTATTTTAACTGATGGAGGGTCGATCGCAGATAGAAGTTCCTAAAATAAAGTGAAGTGAGTGCGGACGAGCATTACGTTGTTTTCTCTCTTTAAAGTTCTACTTTTCTTCGTCATGATTGGCTGATCAATGATATATCTGGCAGCCACTTTTCGACGAACGAGGCTAAACGTTCTTATTCCCGCTATCAAGGGTAAGCAGACTGCACTAATATTGACAGAGATCTACAAATGGTGACTACTCAGTGTGACGTACGTACATACTTAGAATCACTAATGAGTGTCTCGGACATCTATACTTAGAAATATTTTTTATACCTCTGTATTTCTTTGGAGCGTCTCGAGAAACGTTTTATAGATTTAAACTACCCGGGTCAAAGATCCACGACCGTATACTATAGTATTTCGTCGTATTTTCGCGTAAACCCGGCCGACATATTACGGCTATCGTAAACGACGTCATTTACGTTGAAATAAGACGATATACGACAGTCGTAACGATTGACGTAATATGTTGGCGGCGTATACGTCAAATTACGACGGCGTAATCTGGATCTGGATATATTATGAAGCGGACTCATCAAATGAGAGGAATATTCATAAGATATTGTAGATGGTTCCTGGCGAAGACCGACGGAAGGGAGGTGTGAGCGTTGTGTTCTATTTTAACTGATGCAGGGTCGTTCGCAGACATAAGTTCGTAAAGTCAAGAGAAGTGATTGCGGATGAGCATTACGTTATTTACTGTCTCTATACCAACGTCTTCATCACTGGTATACAAATTTTTAGACAACTTGACAATGAAATTCGAATAACACACGCCTACTGTTCGATGTTAAATCTACAATTATGGTCTCTGACGAACAATTTCTTTCGAAGTATATTTAATCTTTTTTTCTACCCTTTCTCGCTTTCTTTGTGTCTACGTGTTGTATTGATACATGACGTAAAGTACAACGAAGAAAACAAAAGAAACGAATTTTAATTCAGAGGCTAAGAACTTCGGACGAATAAGATAAAATGAGATAAAACTTATTTTTTTGCAAGCAAAGGCAGGTTCGTTCTTTTCCATACAAAGGCATTGATATTTTTTCTTTCCATCGATGATAAGTAAAATAAATTGGTCAGTCCAAAAACAGTTTTTTCTTATCCATATCACATTCACATATTATAGCGCGAAGCAAAGACACAATCAATCGCTTTATTTTGACCAACTTTACAATGGATACTAGTCAAAATGAACAACAAGAATTGGCAAGTTCATTGGGTGACACAAAAGTTGACACCCATACGCAAGGCGCCGAGCCCGACTCAGAATTCACTCGAAGTGTCACTCCATCTGAAAATTATATTCACGATTCATATGATCAAGTTCGAACGTCATTTGACAACGGCGATGACAATGCAGAAATGCAAGCATATATTCTTGCAGTAGGTACTGTAAAGAGGGACTTGGCGGGTGAGTCCAAATTCACTCCAAGTCAAGCCTCACACAAACGTCTACTTGATGAGCACATCAAAGTCATCGATGGCATCGATCGTCTCTCGATTCTGGTTGATCTTCATATCGAACATGAAGTCTTGCTACGTGACGGCTTTTCTCAAGTGCAACCATGGGGTCATATTCATTATTTTTACGTGAAAGTAATAGGTTCGCAAAGCATCGCCTACGGTGTGGCTGCTCTGCTTGGTGCGATGTTTGATCAATCTGCTATTGGAATTTATCATCCTTTCACCAAAGATGATCGTCGAATCCTGAATTCAAATCCAGATCAGCCGTTACCAGACAATTTTCATAGATATTTCACGGTTTACTCGGCTAGTCCTATTTCACGTGACACAACTTTGAAGATAATGGAGAAGGCTTGCGAACGTTTCCCGGAATTGTCCGGACAGCTCGATATGTCAGGGCAATCAGTCGAATTTCACGATTTCGGCTCATCATTCAAAGGCACATGCGCGCAGATCGAAGAGGCTTTGAAAGAAAATTTCCAACAGACGTTTCGAGCTAAAACAGAATTCTCAAAGAGTAGTCTACTGGAAAAAGACGATTATCAGCAGGCACTCAACGAATCGGGTCTCAAAATCAGTCATAGTCGACAGAAAGAAACCAGTTCACAAATATTTCACTTATTTTAGTCAGGGAGGTTTTCAACATTAATAAATCTTGTATATATACTAAATTTTGCGTGAATAAAAGTTTAACTAACGAAATTCGAATCAGAGTGAGACATCCCCCATAACTTTGCAAAGAACGATCGCATAGAGCTAGAAGATGTCTCATTTTGATCCGAATTTCGCGGACTACAACCGTGACTTATTTAGAAAAAGTTATGGGGAATTTTGGAGATTTCTGGAAAACTGATTTTCAAGAAACCAGCTAGGAAAGGCCTATGAACCTAAATAAATACCATATCCGAAATCAGTATGCTCGATTACCTAAACCCTACGGCATTTCGTTAAAAAGATGAGAGTATATCTGGGGCGGTTCCCTGGTAAGCAACTACACCCTTTTATCTAAAGCCAGAAACGTATAGACAGGTAAACAGTTATTCGATAGTTGATACTAGTGATTCTTAGTGAGATTCGTATCAAGATTGTAAACCTAATTCGAGTGTTTGCTGGAACACCTCCAACAAGAACGCGGACTATGAAAATATAGGGTGACAGATTTAGCTACTTATCCGGCGGTGTTAGCTATGCACCGGTTTCGATTTCAAACAGAAAAACCGACACGAAAAAACCGATGATCGGTTTAAACCGACACCGATAAAACCGAACATTGTCGCAGTCAAGAACTTTTCATAGGTAGTAGGACACTATATAGCATCTACAGGCAAAAGATCATTGACCTGGGCGTTGGATATCTGGAGAGGTCCACTCGTCAGTATTATCGTGAAATTTTGTCTCTCTATAGCTATATGTAACTCAAGAAATCGCAGGACATAACACAAATAATCAAAAGAAGAAACATATGTCATACTCCATTCAATCATGGGCAAATACCAGACATTAAATTTATTCGTTAAGTCATGTAGATTTATGTGTGCTTTTCTTGGTTTTAGCTTTTTGATTGTCCGTCCACCGAAACCGGTACGGATAAAATCAGATGTTTCTTTGACAATAGTGAATAGATGTTATGTGCACATTCTTTATATCATTCTAAAACCTTAAATAAAAAGGTTTGAGAGTTTTCCCGTGTCGGTTTAAAACGAGCATCGGTTTTTCGCTGTCGGTTAACCGACACCTGTGCATGTCTAGGTGGTGTTCTTTTGCCAAAAGTTTGTAAATGCATCTGTTTGGTTAATTTATGGTTAGAAAGTCATTTGATGATGAATATAGGCATAAAAATTAAGCTTATAAGCAATTTTTGGTAATCGGCTAGGTATGTCTACCTGATCGAAAATAATGTCGATCGGAAACTGTGGTCTTTGGACCGAAATTTACCAATTCTACCATTTCATGGTTTCAGTTTATGTACGAATGTTTTCTGAGCTTACTAAGACCAACCGCAATCCTACACACCTTTTATTTATTGAGAAAAGACAGTTTTACTGAAGACGTAGTATGGTTGGTCATCTCACTCAATGCCTTCGTATTTTTTTTTCCTAAGGGATTCTGCACATTTCTAACGTCATGTTCGTATTCACCGGAGTCAGTTCTATCTGACCATGTCTTCAGAATATGAAAACATAGGGTGACAGATATATACTATAAAATACGAAAATTTGTGAAGATTCATGTTTTCTTGCTCCATCAGCGACCCACAATAGAATGTTTTATCTCTAAGCTCTTAACAAAACACTTTCAGAAAGTGGTTATTACAGAGTTAGTGGTCCTCTTGAATGCTTTTCCGAATGGCATATAAGTAAGTAAAACACAGTTTGTCTTCGAAGGTCATGGTTAGTACTTGGAACGTCTCGTAACACTGACGTACTTAACGTACTGACCATGGACGTACGGAAACTTACAAAGATTACTTTTAATTATTTTTTCGGACCGAATCAATTTAGCTGCTAATCATTTAACGGACAAAACGTAAACGAAATATGATAATACCACGATGCTCGATATTGAACAATATTAATATTAACAATAAAAGCATCAATAAGCACAGAATAATGTTCTGCCAGTTTTGGGTAAGAATAAAGTAAATAAAATACTAATTTCGGTATGGCACATGTTTAATTTGTTCATAAGTGATGATGTTGTGTACATCATGCAATAACAAATTGGAATATACTATTACGTTCAAACGATGTCATTTTCTGACGTTGAATAATGACGCTTAAACGTTCGCTCTGAAATTGACAGGTGTCTCCAAAGTATAAGGGGACAAAACTTTGATATGTATCATTTGTAATCGATACCTTAACGATATCATTACAGATCTGTGGAAAAACAATTTCAGCAGTTTTTCTTCGACTTGATTTCTTAGAAATTTACAATCGAATGAATTAGCTTGAAAACATCTGTGGAGGAATATTTCAACTGATTCATCCGAACAATCGTTTGAATATGTGTATTAGTAAAATAATTTATTCAATGTGACTCCGCGTACTGAACAAACTTCGAAAGTTTAAGAAACGGTTCTGAGATGTTTTGGAATTAGTTTTTTAGTTAACCGCATGCATCAGATCGTTTTCAATACGGTCCTTTGATATGGATATTTCATGTTAAGACTTTTCTGCTACCACGGGTTTGTATAGCTGAGTTTCTCGCTGTTATGAAATATAAATATCTCACTAATCTTCTTAATCCCTTGGCACTGAGAGATACTCCCAGTTTACTAAACACCTACTCTGCTATTTTTGACTTTGTCTATATATTTTTTCTATCAAACATGTGTCTTGAATACGTAATAGACAATACTCATGGAACGATATAGTTACAAGAAGATATGCTACTGTACAACCCTATGCATAAAAATATTTTTGTGACATCATATAAAAGAGGTTGTTAGAGAAAAGTTGTATGGGTGATATGAAAAAGAAAGAGGGAACATTTTGCTGCAAGTTATATGCTGAAATCTTGTTTTATTGTGGCTCATACAACTTTGTCCTTACAAAGTGTACGAATAGTATCATTTTCGTCACTGCTGTATCTTTTATGTCTGCCGATTATATGTTTCCCCATCTCTTTTTGTGTATTTCACATAAAACGAATTCCATCTGTATAAATCATCGAGATGATCGGGTAGCGTGACAGTTGGATCTATATTTAACATACTTTTTTGCAGTACTTTGAACACAGAATTCTCTAGTCCATGTGTTTTATCCTTGTTTTCCCATACAATCACTGCCTTCATATCACAATAAAACATCACTTCTGGCATTTTCATTTTTATCAGATGATCGATTGATTTTGTGTACTGTTGATAATGACCTGTTTTTCTCTTTGACCATCGTTCAGTCAATTCTTTCAAACGTTGTGACTTAGTTGCACCAGCCATCTGAAGCCCAACTTGCTTTTGAATCGCGATTGTATCATCGCAGAGGAGGTCAACAACTAAATCTAATCTCTTCAATGTCTTTTTGTTCAGCTCGACATTTTTCACGATAGGCATACGTTTTTCTGACGTCCCCGTTGTACGTTGAACTTTGGCGATCTCTTGTCTTAACGATCCAGGTACGGCAACATTATCAGTTGTACGGTATCGATGCAGATCTCCGAGTAATATATTACTCCACAAATGGACAGTTGCCATGTACAGTTTGTTGAACCTCAATATAAATGTTTCGTACGGATTTAAATTTGCCTCATAGGCTTTTGGGGCGCTTTCTTCATCTTTCATATTTTTCTTCCTTTTCGTACGTACGTGTGTAGCACTCGATTTATTCCTATTGTCTTGCGATGTAACTGACGTACGTTCCTTCCACACAGATCCATAAATCTGGTGCATATCGGTTTTAATGTTGGAATCAAATTCATTCAGCATTGCTTCTTCCGAAACCACGTTTGCGAAGCTTGGTTCATCTATTTTATGTCCATCAATCTCCTCTTTGTCGATATCGTGAATATCATATTCGTCAACAACGTCTAATTGTAAATATTTTTCGTCATACGCAATGACATCGTCCACATTATCCTCATTCATTTTTCCAAGGGTTTTACAGCTGCATTTAATTGTTCTTTTACAGCACGGTGTTACGGTGTGTCTTCCGAATGAATAAAATAAACACAAAATAATTGATAGCCCTTTTTTAATTCTTCGTAGGTGTTTGAATTAAGAACAACAGAGCAATACATCATAATTGTTTTGACTTCCTCTTTTTTCAATTTTGATTTATGACAAAGTATTTTCCAATCTTTCATGATATGTGGAATGGTTTTTTTTTAACATCAGCATTTGTTCCATATCCTGTTGAAGAGGAAAAGCTCTCTTGATTACTATATGAAGGCCTAACAGAACAGAAATACAGTTTTTCTATCTTCCACAACGTTATTGGAGCAAATGACTAACTTCAACCATCTCGAATACGACTCGAGGCAAAGAAAAATACTTAGTAAAGCATGAACTGAAAAGAATTTGAGAAATAAATCAATAGTGTTTTAACCAACAACGGGACAATGTTACGGTTTCTAACAGCATGATAAAAATTATCAAACATTAATAGATACCTGTTAATATTCTATAAGCTCTTTCGTTGAATAACCGAAATGTTTTATTGTTAAAAGAGGCTAGAGCTGTCTGAATGAGCACCTGAGCACGAATAATTGTCTTGACTTTCTCTTTTTTCAATTTTGATTTATGACAGAGTATTTTCCAATCTTTCATGAAATGCACAGTGCACGCATGTGAAATGGTTTTTTGAGCATAATTACGTAAAATTCCTAATACATCGGAGATATATCTCAGAGATCCGCTTTCACTTCTGGTAGAGATCACAGATATTCACATGTGCAAACTTGAAAACTAACACGACACCTAAGCGAGAAAAAGAAAATTCACTCGTCACTTCTCCAGAAGTAACACAAGTAACGGATTTCCATAACGTGTTACTGGTAACAGGTAACGGGTTGCTGTTACTTGTTACAGTAACGATAATAAGTGCCACTCCTAGCTCGGCAGGATATGGGTGATTTTTCAAAAAACCTAAAACGGTATTTTGAAGTACTGGAAAGGGTATAACAAGGTACCAAATTGACTTTTCTGCTTTTTAAAAACTCTTTTTGGTTTTTAAGATACCGATTCTTTGCTATCATTTGCGATCTAGGTTTTTTTACGCCTATTTCCATCACCAAATGAGTTTTTGGCCATGAATTATCCATATGTGACGCATTTGTAAATTTCTGGGAAAATTTATGGTATCAACTAGTCCTTGGATCTAATTCTCGTAGATTCCCATAACAGATACTTTTTTGTTCTAAGAGCTTCTGAAATAGCTGCGCGAAGTTTCGATGTTTTTTGAGTCTTCCCTTCCTTCTGAACAACAAATATTTGTATATTATTTTCATTGCTTTGGGCATGGATCATGAGTAAATGTATATTAATGACTCTAATATGTGATACACTCGATTGATACATTAAAGCATCAAATATCTTTACTTCTGTACAATCAGCAATCAATAATTAATTCACGACAAATTTCGACAGGTTTTTAATAGCTTTTAACAGCTAACTTACCGATTCATTAGAGAGTAAGTATCGCCGTTACATGCATAAGTGGACTGCATATCGTACGAATTGTGATCGTAAAATGATAGAACATTTTGTTGTCATTACATTACGTGGTGGCGTTGATGAATAAACACATGGGCACTAACATTCTAAACAATTTCCCTCCGATTCACATAGTTACTTACCTTAAAGATGTAAAAAGGTTAAGACACTGATCACCAGTATAACCAAAATGTTCTATTTCGTTTATTTCCTGCTGTTACCGTGAATATCATTCTTGTTGTTGATGGATGATCAATCCAACAATTTAAATTTGTATATAACTTACCCAAATCACATTCTTCCTTAGTTGTTCATTAGTTCGGAAAACGATAAAACTAATTTCAAATGCAAATTAATCTGAATTAATTCTATTCCAAATTACTTTAACTCAACTAACTAGCAAATCGATTTAAACCAAACTAAAACAAATGAATTCAAATCATTTTCTAATTTGAAATTAATTTCAAATACATTCTTTCAAACTTAGTTTAACTAATTTACGACAAAGCTACTTTAATGGACTTTTGATTTTCAATTGGTTTGAATTAATTCGCATAAACATGAATTCCAAGTAATTTAAAGTGTCACAGTAGT